TCTAACTTTGGCTTCTGATCTTATGCCAGGCAATCGTACAAAGTTAGTAGATGAAAATAATAAAGTTAATCGGTATAAATAAAAGAACAAGAATTCGTTGTCTTAGTTTTTAACTATCCTGATTCGATTTTTCCAAAGAACGTAATTAAAGAATGAAAGTGTGTCTTACTGTTGTAAAGAGTACGAATTTTTACTTTGTAAACGAATATTCAGTTCTTTTAAGTCACACGTTAAGCTTCACGATCTTTGAATGTGAATGAATTTTTGTCCCGCGCAGACATCCGAGTTTGAGTGACTTCGACCGTGTCTGTTGAAAATCTTGGGATCACGGAGCGAGAGAAACGTTTCTAATCGCACTCTTGAAGTTTATACGATTTTTAAACTCTTAAACATCTACCACGGACAAACGTGAAACCCTAGAACGATGCAGATATACTTTCTGTTTTAGTTTAAAAGCGGAATAAGAGTAGATGACCCGAATACACAGGCTCGAGTATTAATATGGGCTAGTTGAACTTTTAAGAATCAACGTTTTTACTATTACTTCAACTATACAGTCTGAATTACGTATTTGTGCTATTAGTTATAAATTATGAATGAATTACGTCCATTCAGCTTGTTTTAACTTCGTGTCACAAAGCAAACGTGTTTTATATATTACATCGAAGTGTCACCTCTTAAAAATCTCCAACAGATTTGCCAATAAGTCCTGAAATAAAAATGCCAGTCCATATTTAAACCACCTTCTATATAACCACTGTCAAATGACCCCAGTTAGGAGACCGGGTAAAGAACGAACTATTGAGAAACGTTCTTCGATCGTATCTTTGAAAATATAACAAAATCTATGAACAAAATCAAAATATCTTTGGAAACGTAACAGTATTTGAACATTCGGATTGAGTTGCACCAAACGTCCAAATACTTGTGAACGGTAGCGTATAACTAACTTGGCTCTCCCTTTCTTTTCTACTTCTCCTTCTTTTTCTCGTCTGTTTCATTTGTTATCGGAAAGTTTATTGATTTTCTCTTGTTTCTTTTTTGGCAGTAGCGACTGTAATCATGCTGCAGATCAATGGTGCATTCGAGGTGTACGAGCTGTAACTAGAGCATATACCCTGATTAGACTGCTTCGTTGCTCGGTCGTGCTTGTTAACCACGTGTACGATTACTTTGTATGATTATAGACGTGTATTTTATTATTCGATTAGAAACACGATACACCTGGAAATTTAGTTAAATGCACGTTATATGCATACGTCCCCCATATGCGGCCATTCTGCTCAGCTCTATTATTACCATCTGTTGGGTGATACTAATTTCAATTTGTAACGCAATATACATTTAGCGAGACACGCCGAAGAGAAACGCGTGCTCTGGCTCGATCTTTTAAATAGCATCAATGTCGCATCACGCCTTTTAGCATCGATTACTCTTCTGACACCCGTGTTCTCGTTTAGTTCCGATCGTCGAAAGTGGGCAATTATAATTCACTCGTTGATAAAGTTGCGTACGTCGATCGATTATGCAATGTATATTGGAACGCGGTTTCTCGAGGTTCTAAATATTCTTAAGCAGAACTATAACGCGAAATTCATTAGGAAACGCTACTTCTTACGGAGACAACGTGTTTATCCGTGATAGACTCTCCATAGACTATATAAGTAAATAGCGTGTATTTAATTACTATCGTTGATGAACAGCGCGCAGGAAAATTGTATTGACGCTCAATTTAACGTTTAACAAGTGATATAAGAAATAGAAGAAAAAGAAAAAAGGAATAAAAAAAAAAAAGGATTGATATTTATAATTCTTGGAAAAAATAGGTGAACATTAGGAATTCTCGTATGATAACGAATATATTAAAAAATTTCGGTAGGTATGAGACATTAAGATTCGATATTTGATGAAAATCGGTTCTCTTAAACACTGCCTGTACATATAATTAACAATAACATATACATTGATAATACTGGCTGTAAGAATGAAATAATCGAACGTAACAGAATCGTTGAACTTATCGGGCAGTTGTAATTTCCATTGTCATATTCGAACTTTCAGCTCGTATTTCATTGTAATACGACACAACTCCACGTCCATTCTTATATCAAATAAAAAAATTTCTTGTAACTGAATAAAATTAACTTTAAATCTGATCTCAAAGGGTTATAATTCGATCGATTGTCTGGTTATCGAATGAAACCTCGAAGTTGGTCGGTGAATTAATTATTCGGATTAGAGACGATCGGTGAAATACATTTTCGATTGACTTCGAGGAAATTGTAATGGAATGGAAGACATATTTTTTTTTTTCATTGAAATAATATAAACTCGATTACAATTTTAAAAAGAATAGAATGTGGAGAATGTTTTACACTGCTGTTCGAAAAAATTACTGCATTACGTCGACTTCGAGGTTTCGTGATATTCGTTCTTTTCACATGTCAGTTTAATTTACCACGTATCGATAACGTTTTGTCTTTATGTTATTCTAGATAACGAACGGAGTTTATTAATTTCATGTCAGCCCTTTCAGATCTGTATATTAACAATTAACAAGGCACACGATCGAACGCAGTGAATCTGAAAGGGTTAAATGTCGCTCTTCTTTCCGTAAAGACATACAGGACAGCAGGTTCGAGGGACGGTTCGTTTTAAAACTATAATTGCGATCAATTGATCTCGCGTAAGTAACGAAAAGCAATTGTGACGTCCGTCCACACACGATGTTAATTTCTTTTCACTACGATGCGTTTCACTGTCACTCGGTATATACGTACCTCGATGAACACATCATTACACTTCATATATCATTAAACAAGCCCACCGATTCATAAATAGTGGTATTGAAGATTATACAAAATAGATTATCTCATTTTATTTTAACCCTCTAGAATGGTCTATTTTCTTATGAGAAAAGAGATGAATCGCAGTTGCATGTACTGTCGTATGTAGGTAACATATGTAGGTATAACGTAAGATAATAATTATTATAATTAGACTGTGGATATTTATAGAAATTCATATTTTTAGAAGTACAACTGAAGAAGTGAAATCTACGCAGAGATTTGTTTCACTCAGCCAAATGATTTTTTTTGGTATTGTGCGCATTCCTGCACCTTCAAATTGCCCACAAAATGCATAAAGATCCTCAGACGAGCTTTTGTCTTTTTATCCTTTTATAGTTAAAAGGGACGCAAGCTGTGCGTCAACGTCAACTACGTAGCTTTCAGGGTGAAACGTGAAAGATATTAGGATATAGATATAAGGATATTATGTAATCCGCCATCTATTTCAAGATAGAGAATATAATGTGAATTCAGATATGATTATTGACCTTTCGCATTCCACAATTGTATTTATTTCAAGTAGTGTTGAACATTTTCCTACAATTTCGCATTCAACCTTTGTATAGTATTTCCTTCTTATTTTAACTTGTAAATTATGCGCTAACAATTTACCGGTAGAAAACCGGAGACTTTCTGTATATTTATCTATGGATTCACTTTACACAAAGCAAGATCTATGAGTTGAAAGTTTAGTTCATTGCGTTTGAAAATGTTATTAATAGAACTAATTCTTTTTTAATGTTACTGCAGTAAATATACACATGGAAATGAATATTTGCTGAAGTCTTGATAGTAGTGAAAATAAGCGACTAGATCAATATGTTCTTTAACGTACAATAGCTAATACATTTGCCGAACATCAAACGCTACCATTCTATGAATGAAAGAATAAATATTATGTCTATGGGGGAGTGTTTAAAAACATCGTATTGCTTTCTGTTTTCTGCTGCGGTCTCTCACAGAGTTAATAAGTAGAAATCACTCTCAAATTGTATATATGTATATACCTATCTCAATATCAAGCTTTATTTCATCTTCTTTATTTCTCTTTGTTTTTGTTTGGTTCTTGTGTAGTCTCATTAAACTAAAACTACTAGAAATAAACCTAATAAATAAAACTAACGGCTTGTGACAATCGATGTTTCTATGATTCTTTTCATATTTATTATTCTCATAATAACGTGCAAAGAAGAGAATGCTTTAGACGCAAGGTCGTGTAACTTAACCAAAGTTTAGAATTATTATATCTTCGATTTAAAAAAAAAGTCATACTGTCATTTTCATTGAAGAGAAACCTAAAAGAAAAAAATATCGTATATACCACGATTTATGAATTGATTTCACGCATTACAAAACGTCCTTTCTTTAACAGATTCATACAATCGTGATACATTTTCCTTTTCACCCACGGCTACGAAAAATTTCTCTCTCTGGCTCCACGTGATCATACGTTGCCTCGTTTCCTGTTCTCGTTTAAGCCTTTGAAGCACCGTTGTCAAAGGGTGCTCCATAAGATAAAAAAAAGGAAAAGAAAAGAATTGAAGGACCTCTTTGTTTATAACGAGGAACAGAGGTTACCGGCGCGGTGGCTGTATTCAATGATCGACGCTTCTTGCGAAAACTTTTATTCGTGATACAGTTGTTCGCTTAGAAACAAGGTAACTAATATCACACAGAAGTTTTTTTTCTTGAATGCGTGCTTCAAAGGATTAATTACATGTTCGCTCGTTCGAGATGCGCTTGAATTATTTCGTATCGAAACGTCTTTTAACAAAAAGGAAAAAGAGAAACAGATATTAATTAAGACAAATGTTATGAAAAACTACTTTAACATTACAATGTTCAAAACAAAAACATTACGACACATGACGACGAATTCAGATGAAATTTCTAGTCAGAACGTTGTTGAAAGTTTGCTAATCCTATTTTCCATTCGAAAATTTCTAGTTGTTTAAAAGAATATGCTTCTAGATGAAGGATATCGAACCGATAGAACGACGTTACTTCACCGACGTAATATTCGCCGTAAATGGAATTTTCTTGCCCGTGGACAAGGCGAAGCAAGAGCGAAATGATTCGATCGCGTCCGAGCGGGGCGAGCCCCGTGTGTTACGGAAAGTAAAATAGGAAATTGTGTGTGTGACATTGTAGGATGAAGAGAAAAAAGACAGCAGAAAATTCGAGAAAAATGATGAAATACCTAGCGAATTCGAGTGTTGCTTTTGTACTACGAAGGTATTTACGATCACTAACGTTCTTCCTTAGGCGGCACTACATACACCAATGGGCTGTCGAGAGAATTGGGACCAAGGGGACTAACATTCTTTCTTTCACTCTTCATATTTTTTTTTCTTTTTTTTTTTTCTTTTCTTTCTCTCGTCTCGTCTTGAAATCTGTATTATGTTACGATCTCTCTTTGCTGCTTTGTGCCTTAGCCAGCGATGTCTGATCGATAGAGAACACATACTATCGCGCGTGGTGGTAGTATACGTTTGTCCCCTGGCTTCTTATTTATCTGTCCGCTACTACTGTACGTTCTACTACAGCCGATGCACGGTTTTGTACGTATGTATAGTCCACTGGGTGTATGCACTGCCTCCCCCCTTCACCTTCAACAGAGCACAACTTTTCCATTGACACGATACCAGTTCATTCAAAAGCTTTAGACGCAACCGTAGCTCCTGCACTAATTTGACTTGCGTGTAAACTCGCAATTTTGTAGGTCAAGGCACGGGCATCGTCATCGTGCTTCACATCGGGAGCGAAATCACGCCACTGAACGAAACACGATGCCTTTGGCTCTGGCCGTACACCAACTCCTTTCACCTGATCCTAAATAGAAAATATTATAATCTGCCCTACGAACAAGTTTATCCGGCGAGCAACAGCTTGCTTAGCGATGCTAGGCGATCGCTTCGAGTCGAAGAGCTTAAGCGATAGAAAATTAAAAGGATAGAAAATTTATATGATTTCGGAAAATCCTATCTCCAAGAACGTTCCATAAAAATTATCTCTATTATAGAAATTATTTTTCAACGGTTCTAAATGAAATTTACGCGACTCTTAAGATCGTACATGTATGTTAAACAATTAATTTTAAAATTACTTTTAGTTTGCCAGAGGAAATGTCAAATGCAGATATACTTTTTAAGTGTAGGTAGCTTCTTAAGCTCGATTCAACGAATATTCGTCTCTGTGTAATCTTATATACATATCATGAGTCTTTACTATAAATGGGAACGATAAGTATATTTAAAATTGTGGAAGCCTGAGCAATATTCAGGTTTACAAAGGGTTAAAAATGGATGTTTGAAATTTGTCTTTGATTTGATTCATACAGAAACTCATTTTAAGATACATGTACGACACGTACATACTTTTGCCCGTGAAACTGGGTACACTAATCGTTGGGCATATTATAAGTACTAGGTATCTGCGAATTGAAGTTTCTTTTTGTATTATCCTTATGAAGTAATTAATATTTCTCTGTTTCAAAAATAAAAAAAGGAACAAACTTAAAGAGAAACATTATAAAAAAGTACAAATATTATTTTCTTCCAATAACTTAACAATTCTTTGATTATTCTCTAACAACGCTTGGAATCGTTGTTACAATAACTTGCTAACAAGCCTTTTATGTAAATTTTAATTAATTTCTAATGTACATGTTCTACTAAGATTACCAAAATCTTATTTTTTATTTCTTCTTCGATGATATGCTCTATCCAATTAACAGCGCAACGAGTTTTCTTCATCTTTTCGTAACGTATCGTGAATTGTACTTTCTTGTTAGAATTGCAATAATTGTAAAACATTTCAAATTGCATCCTCGAATTATTCGCACATGCCTACTATATAGTATTTACTTAAACCGATTTATACTTTCTCTTTCTTTCTCTCCGATGGATAATTTCCTGCTTTCAAGTTTCAAACGAACATAAAGTTTGCACGCTAGTGTCGTGCATGAATCACGCTGGCAATCGTACGAGTAGGCTAGAACGAAAGAGAATTTACTCGTGTTCAAGCAATTTGCTTGCAGGCTGTTAACGATTCGGACAAATGTCTTGACACGAAACGCCGTGCTCCGACTGGAACACATTTCACTTCGAGTGCTTCCGTAACGAATATTCGCTACGACGTACCAACTTTACACGATACATTATTTCGTACTATTCACGATTTTCCGGTGATTTCGCAACGAGACCAATAACGCGGTATGCAGCGTGTATATAAATTATTTCCACGTTGCTGTATCCGCGTTCAACATTCACGTTATTGTTATTTTAAGGAAGGATCCTCGCGTAACAAAAATAAAAGCATGTCATTTTTTGTGAATTTGTTTCAAGCTAATTACTAGCCACATGAGACTAGACGTTCGTTTCTGAGATGGACAACTACTCTCGTATAAATGTAATTTTCTCTATTTCAATTCATTCTTATCGTTTACTAGCTTTCAAACTGCCGAATGTTTAATAACTTTTTGAATTGGCGTGCGCGATAACTGAGCAAACAATTGATCGATCAATTTCAGGCGAAATTCATTCGCTTTGTTGTAGATTTCGCCTGGAATGGAATCTCAAATTTTTATTCCATTATTTACTCGTAATATTTTTGTTTAACTATATAAATTCAATTTGTCCGATGTCCCTCTAAACAGAAGCGTGTATCGATCAACTGAACGAGTCCTCTATTTCGTTTCTACATTCTCGTTCGAAATTCCAACTAACTTCCTTGGAAATGTTCACCTCCTGGAAGCAGGATATTATTGCTTCAATGACATTTATCTCACACGACGACTGGATGTCTTAAGCGAACGACATTGATTGACTTACTGATCCCTTTCATTAGCTCATTGGCTGCAGATAGCAACAGACACGCATACAATAGACTTTCATTCACCTCATCATCGTGCCGTGGCATGATCAACTAAAATGGTATATACAACCTGATTAATTAGCAAACGTCACGTAGGATCGTGTTTGTCGACGAGTTGCACTTTCATTTAGCAAATTATTAGTCACGATATCTTGCAGGGATCGCACGATGTTACTTACAATCTGTTGCTTCCTTTTTTTTTTCTTTACAACGCAACACAGTGACAATGAAATGAGATACAATCGCTGAATACATTGTATTCCTATACGTACGGTGTACGTGGTTGATTGATTGTACAGGTATGTATTTTTCGATATATCTTTAAATCGTTGAACGATTACAGATCGTTGAATATAATTTGCAAGAGATTGATGTCTACATATCTTTAAGTGTTCATCGACCAACAATCGATCGAATAAAGAAAATTAATTTACGCGGAGCGTGTAGAATGAGGCATGAAATTATTTAAAACGTATACTGTAGAACATTTTTATGAATATTTTGTGAATATTCAATATGAATATATAAAACTTCTTGAAGCTTTACAAGCACTGTGATGAGATAAGGCTATGATTATATATCGAAAATTGGAGAATATATTTATATAAAATCTAAGAATTGAGAATATATAGAAGTTATAAAATATTTGCTGTTATTCGCTAAACACACACCTCACAGAGATCGCGAGATTATTTGAACAGAAAATTTTCTGTACAATTAATAAACGGACTGTCAATTTTTATGAGAATTTATATTTTTATAGACACAATTAAAGAAATAGAAGTTAAGTAGAGATTCGTTTTACTTGTTAAAAATTATAACGAGTATTCTATTATATTTTTGCACGCATATTATTATATGCTTTCTGTACATTTCTACGTATTCAAATTTTGCACAAACGCATAGAAATCAGCGATCTATCGATAAGCTTCGTTATCTAATGGAACCATGTTTAGCACCAGTTAGAAAAATAAAACAACTGTTCGTACCGTATACTAATTTTTTACCAAATAAGTTTTATTAAATATACATATATTTATATTTTAATTTCTTGTAGCTTTTCTACACGTTTCCAGATTGATTTCAAGTATTAAGGAAATTGCGACCTTATAATTACGACGGTCTTGTCTCATTATAGCGTCAGTGAAATTTCAAGATATTTCGCGCAACACACGCGACATACTCGTAAAATTTGTCCACAGTAAACGTTCAAACATTTTCACGAGTACGCGCAAGTACGTACTGACTGTAGTTATAAAGAATCTCCATAAACGTTCGAATGCTTTCGCGAGCTACTGCAAATCGCTCAACGACGTTACAATCGAGCAACAATCGGGAAACGCTGTTTCAAACGATTGCATCCCATTCTCTGTGTCATTTAACGAAAAATAGGATTCGAAATTACACGAATAAAAAAGGTAATCTCATGTGAAACAAATGCGACAGCTGTGACAACGACGAATGCGATTCTGCAGCTGCTACACTTGGTCACGTAATGCTATTAAAATCTCGGCGACCAAGTTTTATTTGAACAAGCGAAGTTCGTGCGACAGAAAATCGCGTATGAATTTCCGCAATAGCTTCGATTTAATTAACGATGGTCCGAGACTCTGACATTGCTTTAATTTCAAACGAGATCATTGTTGCGCGAGCTGGTGGCCAAATAAAAGGCAATGCTCGAATTTCGTCAATAAATGATACTGTTACACGTATACAATCGTCACTTTCCAATTTCCAGAGCGTACAGTTTCCACTTCAAATTGACCACGTTTTTCCATCTCTCTCTCTCTCTCTCTCTCTCTCTCTTTTTCTCTAGTTGATCATTTTTCCAGTTTTCAATCTTTTCGCGGTAAACCCGGGTGAATCATTTCCAACCAGAAAATTTGAACCATGGAATGTACGCTTTCTACGAACGACGATCTGAATATGGATCGTTCGAATCCGCTACACGATCTCAGTCAAAAAATACAAAAAGAGAAACCGAGGCGAAAGAAAAACAGAAAGAAAACATCGAAGAAACACAGAGTATTTCGTATAATACGAAAGCTTGAAGATATCGTGTTACGGGTTCGGCAATACACGCTTGTTTCACTTTTCATCTTTTCAGCATGCTGTTCTTTTTCTTTCTTTTTTTTCTTTCTTTCTTTCTTTTTTTAGAAACAGAACTACTCAGACTAACAAAGCACGATAACAGCATATACAGATTTTGCAATGATTCTCTGAATGTACTATACTATTACGACTTGTTGCATCCATTAGGACAGTTGTGGCAAGCTTTGGGAATACGACTAACTAAATTGCAAACGTTGTTTTTCTTAAGTTCCGCACCTTATTACAGGCCCACATGTATATGTACTTGTATATGTACCGTCTTCCTCTAATCTACTTAATGATCGTGCAAATGCGAAAATTCTGGACCGCATCAGGCGAGTATATAATACGGAAAGTAGAAAGGTCACGTTATACGTATAGATAGCGATTATTTTAGCCAGCACACGATACCAGTTTTCTTCCTTTTTCTCCATTAACTATTAATACATGTATATACATACAGCACACGAAGGGACTACTTTTTCAATTAAACGAGCGCGGCTATCGTCGTTAAACGGAGCCCGGAGCAATTCGTTTCACTCGTTCTTACACTCTGATCAATTTAAACTAGTTTTTTAGCCTGTAGAGCGATAGATTGATGAAGACAGAGAGAAACGGTGCAAAGGGCTGTTCGAGCTACTTTCAAACGTTATTACGAAGACCTGCGAAAGAAAGACCTTTTCGTCGACTACGTTGTCGATTTAACGCTGCTGTAGTCCTTTAGATTCTTGCAGCTAGATTTCGCTCCTCTGTTTCAATAACGAGAGGAGCTTTTAATGCCTCGGAAAGAATTTTTACATAAAAGCGAGACGAGAAATTGTGCTATTCGATGGAACGTTTCCTCTCAAACGTAGAGGATACCGCAGCGAGTCAAGATTTTTGGCGAGATTAACACGGAACATGTTTCAAAAGGAAAGTCGACCGATATCAAACGAAGAATTTATTGGTACAAAAAGATTCGAAAGTGTTATATTTATTTATAAAAATTATATTTATATCGTTCTATTGCGGTTTACTTTCGATTTTGTATATTTTAAATAGCACATATTTTTCAGCTATACGGAAAGACGGATTTGTTTTCCTTTTTTTTTATGTAGATTTTAACGACGATACGGTGATACGTTTTATTTTAATTGTCCGATGCTACGATAATTTAATAATAATTTAATCTATTTCTGAATTACCATTTGCGAATTCCATCTTAATGTTGATACATAATATTGACGGTCTCAACAAACGAACATGTTCATATCGATGACATGTGTCACATCGATGTAATCAGGTCGGTTATTGATTCCGTTGATTAGAAATAAATTAATATATTATTGTGGTATCGGATAATTGAAATGACAATGTTACCATATCGTTGAATTTATCCTTTTTCTCGAGTTTAAGGATAATCTGATAAAGAAAGTATCATTTAAAAAACCATAAAGTAATTCTAGTTTTTGTTAAAAAAAGAATAACGCTTGAAATTTTTTACATCGATAGATTCTTCATTGATTGCCAATTTTGTTCGCGACATTTCGTGCTGTTGTCAAAATTACCTCTTTTGTCATGGATCATTCTCTGTATATTTGATTGTTCTGACATTGTGCCAGATGTGCCAGAATGTTGGTTCATCAGAAAACGCATACACTTTAACACTTCGTCTTAATTGCTTATTTTCGTTGAAATAAAATTCTCTGAAGTAAAATACTCGCTCTCATATTTGAATAATAAAAGATCATTTTCTTTTTAATGGGAAATGATCTAAAGAACGCAACAACCATACAAAGAAACATTTTACCATTGTATATTGTTGTAATTATTTATCGACTAACGTAATAAATAATTTCGATATTGTAATTAGCTGCATCGCGAATAATTATAATATTAAGTCATTCTCGCATTTTGACGATAGGAAAACTTTTTTTTTAATGAAAAACTATGCAAAGAACGCAGCAAGGTTAAATCAACAATTATACAAAGAGGCGTACTACCATTGTATATTTGTCTTATCGATCGTCTATTGACTAACATAACGATGCTAATACCATAATTAACTGCTTCGCGAATAATTATAATATCAACTCGCACTTTAATAATAAAAGAACATTTTTTTTTTTTTTGTCGAAAATAGAGGATGATCCAAAGAACGCAACAACGTTAAATCAACGATCGCACGAAGTTCCAAGTCTATTCACGTTACAACCATTTATCGACGAGTGACGCGCCGTTTAATGTTAAATTTTTAGGATCACAGCGATGTTGAAGGCGACGACGCTTGGCTATGCGGCGGTTCGTCTTCGACAAACCGAGACTTTTCACCTTGGTCGTATTTCTAGGAATACAAAGAGTTCAGAGACGCGGAAGATATAATGCCACTGGCGACCAGCGACTTTCGTAATCCCATCTGCCAGGAGATGAAGTCGATGCGATCCGGAGGAATCATGTCGATGGAACCGATCGCGCATCAGCAGATCTTCGCCGTGGAAACGAAACCGTCCCCGGCACAACCGGTGGATGTCCCCAGCTTTGGCAGAACGTACAACGAGCAAGGAAGCGTAGACAGCTCTGATACGTATGCCAGCTGTCAAACGCATCCGTCTCATTCGCAGGTATAGTATGGAATCGATTGGCCGCGAGAATCTGGGCAATTGAATTCGTGAATTCAATTCACTGAAATACAGTCGCTCGTACTAATAATATTCAGACACGTTACTGTCTCCGTATTTGTTGGTTCGTTAATAATAGAGAGGATGATCCAAACATAGCGTAGCTCGCTCTACGAGAATATCAACAATTTATCATGGCTTGAAATCACGTAAACAGTTTCGTCCTAACGATACCGTTTAATTAGATCTTTAACAAACAATTTTAACAGAACACCCAGGTTCGTGTCACGCTAATACTTATGCGCGTTCCGCATTTATTTTGCGTAATTGTCTTGTATAATGAACGTCGAGTGAAATTAACGCGGATGTTTTTATAATACACCAAGAAATTCAACTTGTCACGTAAAGAAAAGAATACTTTTTTTCATGAAGGATAACTCAGCTAATAACGTTTCCTACTGTATTTTATCGTAATTTATCGGAGAGAAAAGTAGTATAAAATATTAAATAAGAAGAAAGTGACTGTTCTCTTAAAGTAGCGTAAATCTTCCTATATTCTTTGAATTCACGTAAACTTCCGTGACTTCTGCTTTTCTCCTCGGTTTATCCGTTTCTCTTTCCCTTTCCTCCTTTCGTTTTATTCTTCCGCTATATAAATTGCTTCTTCCGTTATATTTATCATTTTAGAAAATGTATATTCTTTATATTCCTTTCATATGGTATACTAAACCGCGATTGAATTGCTCAATTATATTAGCATCGATCATAGCAGATATCGTTGGGAAATATAAAGAGCAAACGTTGTCGTTAGGAAGAAAATGTTTGCGTATTTTCAAGCTGCGATAAGTCATTCATATTTTCGCAAAATAAGCAACGCGATATCTAAATCCGCTCTTATTAACAAATAAGCACACAGCAAATACAGAGATACTGCTGTGTCAGAATATTAAATACGAGTAACTGTACGTATCCGCGGTGTGTCACGTTATTTCTATTTTTTTTTTTTTATTTATTCTTTGTTTATTTTCCCGTATATAATAAGATGTTGATTAATGCTTGCACTTTTCCTACCTTTTTTCTTTTTTTCTGCTGCTTTTTTTTAATACTTTTCTTGTTACACGATTCTGCATGAATTTCTAACCATAATTAACGTATAACGTTGCTCTCCTCTTCGTCTCCGTATATTATCGTACAGTACGCACAAAATTATTGTAACATGTTGCGCATATTGTTGCGTTGCTGACTGTTTCATCGGCGAGAACGAATACTAATTACCATAGGTTTCTTCTGCTGGTCATTCGGCGGATAACAATAAGGTACAACGCTAACTATCACTTAACTCGAGAAATTGCCGAACGAGCTAGTTCTTATCGTAGTGCGGACAATGCTGAAACTTTCGATTTAGAATACTTTTCTTTTTTTACCTTACGGTAGACGTTTTAACACGTTTGAATAAAATTGTAAATAATTTATTTACTAGACGTAGCTTGAAAGATAGAATTAAAAATTTGCTTCGAATGAAGGCAAGAGTAGTTTAGGATTTCCCTGAACCTAAAATGCCTACAATCTAGAGAAGAATTTGACTAGTTTTAGAGAAATATATGAGTGAGCTTTTGAAAATGGAATGGCGACACAAATTTGCGATAAAATTCAGTTGAAGAAAATTGTTCTGCGAATGTATTTTATTGTTTAAGAAGATGTAAGAAACAACATTCCGAATTATTATGTCATTGGTTTCGTTATTTTATTATTAATTTCTTTAGTAAATATATATTTATTGGCATGTTTATATATTTACCGATACTCTTTGCGAGCATTCTATTACGCTTTCTATATTTGATACGCATCCTTTGGACGTACGTTAAATCAACAATAATATTCCTATGAATAAAACATACGAAAAGATTAAAGAGCGATTGGATCAATTTTAAACCTATCGCATAATAAATTTGTTCATTTTGAAATACATTTTTAATAAATTAACGAATATTTCAAAATACCAATTTTAAATGCCTGACACTGTCAATGATACAGAATATCTTACAGAAATCTATAGGGAAAATCTTATGCCAACTGCGCTGTTTCACAGGGCGATTTGACCGAAGAAGCAGACAGTAATCTGTACGTGAATCCACTGGAAGCTGCGGAGAAGTGTGGAAATAGAGTGAAAAAGTCCGCTTCCGGTGAAGTCGGACGTAACGTTGGCGACGCGTCACCGAGTGTTGAATCGTTAAAGGACGTTCGTCCCTTTAACGATGGTAGCAGGGTTACGTTAAACGACACAGTGCCCAAGCATAGAAAAATTCGTATTCAGCAGGTATGCTCGTTATTTTGCTTTTTCGTCGATCCCTTTCCAATTGTCCATCTTTGCACGCATATCTATGGAACATCCGTTAAACGCTGTTTATCCACTGAAAAGTGTGAAACTGCTTTAACTGTAAGGAATTTTGAGAAAAATTCTTAACACTTTCGCGTACGAGCTGTATCCTAATTATACGATGCTGAGTGAATAATTATCAAAAATATGAAGTTTATTGGAACGTTAATATAGATAGGGCGCGGTTTATTTAAAATAATAAAAATTTAATTATTTTTCTAATTTATTTAAATTCATAGACTATGGATTCTAGTAAGTTTTCTACTAAAAATTTCTTATCATTTTGGTAATTCTGATCTATTCTACGGTTTGTATTATAATTTATTCGTTGCTCTCATGAGATATAAATCCATTTTGTAAAATTATATTATCTTCATAGATACAAGATTGTTTTATTTGTCGAATATTACAACGAGCACTATGTTTTGGGTTTATTTACATATTTTTGCCTGTTACGTGCGTTCTGTGTATTTTTGTGCCGTCAAATTTCCCATAAATCCACAGTCTGGTTGTACTATAAACGCGAAACAAAAACAAATTCGCTTTCCGTTTGATATACTGGTCGAACAAGGATAACATTCGACAATCGATCTGATTTATTGTACATGGGCTAATGATATATTAACAAAAATCCAAATATCAACAAACATAGGGCAAGCAGATGCTATCTGAAATTTAATCCAATATAATTTAAAATACAACATAGAAGAATGTAATTATTGACTCATCCTCGTAATTATTTATATATAATCGCACGTATTCGACGTCGTTCCTTCGTAACCATCGTTGTGTCTTCTTCACTCAATCTCATTATTTTCATCTCCTTATAGCTTCTTTCTCCTATGTACCAAAATTTAGAAAGTCTCTGGATTTTGGTAAAACTGCAGAACCAAAAGTGGATGTGTTAGCAGCTAACAAGTTTAGAAAGGTATTCTAGTCCGAATAACTAGTTTTTCATTCGATCTTTAATGATATAATTATTAATAACGTAGTTATCAAGGATGTGATTATTAACGTTGCAATTGTCGTCAAGAACGTACTAATATTAAAATATAATAGTTATAAGTACAATTATTAAAATGTTGTTATTAAACTGACAATGAAATGAAAGCTTCTTTCTTTTTTGTTTATTTCGATCATTTAACGTCGCATAAATCACTTGTATGGATTATTAGCGACACAAGGGCAACATTTACCATTTATTGTACAGTTTGGTATGTTTTAGGCAGCGTAGTAGGTTTTCAGTCGATCCATTGTCCTTTAAATTGTCTCTCAAGACGGCTCTTATGATGAATTGTTATCTATTTATGATGTGCCTTCTGCGATGAGAATGACGATGTACTCCTCTTCACAGATTAAAGGGTCTTTGTTTGAGAAGATATTGGTGAGTTTCGTGCAAGCTATTATCATTCTGGAGATTACGACATGGTCGTGCGTCTTGGTAGATTACGAACAATGGTGGTATTCAACCCTTGTACACGCTAATGTTATCTATTTAAATTTTGAATCTTGGAAAGCATTTTTTATTTGATACTACATTGCACAAATAGTCGACTCACATTTTCTGATAATAATCGTTCGTTCGAAAGGTGAAGCACAAACAAATGAACGTTATATCAGATTTCTAAAGATTTTCTTTTTCAAGATTCTCTTGTCCTTAGTAGCGATGAAACAATTGCAAATGTTCGTACGAATTCATTTTTCTATGGTCGTAGAGGACACAAAGAAATTAAAACTAGACAGAAAGTTTCACCTATGAATTATACCTACGTATAAATCTAATATATCTAATTAAAATGTGTACTAAACCTGGAGGAGATTTAAATGTGTTGTAAAAGTTTGAGAATTAAAATTTTATACCTAGATTTACAACAGTTAGTTAAAATTTAATATCTAAATCTGGAAGGTTTCGATTGTATAAATTTGTAATGGTTAATTAAAATTTTATGCCCGAAGCTGTGAGGAGAACGAGCGATCCATAAAATCTTTAATGGCTAATTAATATTTCGTGCTTAAACCTGCAAGAGAAACAAGTGATTCGTGTAAGAGGTCTTTATACCTAAACAGAATTCCTTCGCGTTTTAACTATTCAGTTATGAATAAATCATCCGGTGGTTATATTCGAACGACAGTATCTATAAATTCAGATACTCCTTATAGGTGGTTATGCAAATGAAGCGATTGAATTGAAGAGTTGAGAGTTCATCGTGAGTGTCGCGGCTATCGCCCGAACTAGAATCAATTGTCTTTATCCTTAAATATCCATAAGCCTGAAAATTCTATCAATTTCTTCTCATACTCCTAAGAATACGTTCTCATGGTCGTCAACTCAAACGAGGAGCTAAAAGATTTGGATCTTTGTAACTTGCAGGGTAGAATACCTTTTTAACTTGTACGAAGACTTGTGCGTTACGTGGCTAATTGTCGAAAGTGTTGAGAAGAGCTCGTAAGAAAAATTATTGAAACAAACAAAAATATCTTTAAACATAAAGATTCGTACGAAGGAAAGTTTTCAAGAAAATTTCTTAAGAGCAATTATTCTCATAAATTACTAGAGTGAAACGATCGCGTGTACCTAAGTCTGTGTTGTACGTTCAGCAAAATTTCTAAGCGTAATTTAATTAACAATTGACTAATCGTGCATGATGAATATTGCGTTTAATGTTTACTTTCTCTGTCACTGTGTGCGTCATCAAATTCTATTTTCGACCAATGAGACGAGTGTAAGGTTTTCGGTACGGTATTAATAATAATAATAATCAAACGATTTTCGATACGAACACTTACAGCCATCGATTGTGAAACAGCATGATTTCCGTTATATTATAGTTTCAATGGTAGTTTTCTTTAGAAATATTCCTTTTGTCATTTTTATATGATTTCCAGTCACATCATAGGTCGCACGAGATATTCTGATTTTATTATCTCTCTATAGCTTTTTTATTTTATTTCCTTTTTATGATTCTTTTAAGCTAACGACCTTTATAGGATAGAAAATTTCTCGATACGTAAACATACGTATACACACGCTTAGTTTTCCACTTAGTTTTGCTATCGCTATATCCATTCTGATATCGTAGTTTAGTCAGTTCAGTGTGGCGAATATGTAGTTTCTTTATAGCTTTAGCTTGCTTCGATCTAAACATATTTATACGTATAATTATATAAATACTATATATATATATATATACGATGTATTTATATAATTTATATACCGTATATTAATTAATTTATTTATATATTAGATATTTATAGTCATCATTATATAATAAAATCACGGTCAAAGATATAAAGTTATACACGTGATAAACTTTTATGAGACTACCGAACAGAAATAGAGGATAAAATAGCGCTTTAAAATTTGACGAATTTTTCCTTGCTATTTGAAAATATGAATATGTATCCTACTCTTTTTTTAAATATTTTACAAAAAAGTATATTACATTGTTGTAAGCAATCGTCATTCGTGTGTCATTTAGCCCTTTAATTATGAATTGCTACAGAAAAATCATTTGTTTATAAAATCTTGAAATCGCATAACTAAATTTGTATATGCTACAGATAGTCTATATAATTTCGTCTGCTGTAGGTTTTACATCTCTTTCTTTTTGATTGGCATTATTTTCAACATTTTCCTCGTTTACCTGCACGGCTGCGCGTTTGGTTACTGTAGGAAAATCGATGTGTTTAATTATTTCCTCGTCTTTGAATTTCATATTAGAACTTAATCATCAGGAGATTTCTATGCCTGCTAACTGTGTCATTAATCAGCTGTGATAACTGTGCAAATATATTCAAAGTTGATGAAAAGCATAATGACTTAGCAAAAACTTGACATCTTCCATAAAAGTTTCATTCAGACTCTTCAAGATATAATTTTCTTGTTAGCAAGCTGTTACACACCAATATACTAAACTTACCTAGACTTGTCTAAAATTCACTGAACTTGTGCAGATCTTCGTTCGTCGTAAAATTAAGATGATAAATGAAAATAAACAATATACAGCATGTAGCATCAATTCGTTTTAATGTAAATTGAAATACATGTGTGTACACATATATTTATCTCGTATATGTAGATGGGAAAATTTTAATGTAAAATGAAAGGTATTATATAATATAAACATAAGTACAAACGTAATGTATACATTTTCATACATTGTATTCGTAAGAAAATTATTTAGTTTTCTCACCATGGGTAAAATTAGTTGTAAATGATCAAACGAAATATTTTTGCTGTTATGTAGAAATAATCAATAGTCAAGTAATCGAACTCGACCAATAATCAATTTTACAAGCAACAATGAAAATTTCGATGAACAATCCAATACTTCTCGTCACAAGTAGAAGCCTCTTACGTTGCTCAATGCTCTTAAAAAAGATTAACAGATTCATCGTCAATGTTTGATCTTTACCATGACAACAAAGGCGGAGCAAGTAATTGATAGTATCGCAAGGCAATCGATAATATTTTTCCGCGTTCGTTATAGCATTTTGATTTTATTCGTCCAAGCTATATTACCTTACTATACACCACTGTACCGTTAATAATTTTTTTACGTTAAAATACCATTATCAAAATACACATAGTTACGTATCGTTAACATTTCCATTTTATTCAAAAAAAAAAAGAAAATGAAAAACTTGATTATTTTCGAAGGAAATAATTAAACCCTCAAAGCTTCGTATTATCAGATACCGATAGAATCTTTCCCTTTATCAATTTTCTACTCGCCTCTCAAAAGCTTATCGTTATTAGTGATGAGCTCAAGTATGTACGTACACTAATGTACACACGTCGCAAGTAGGTTCGAACCAACTCACCAAATAGATTCGAACTCTCTATAATTCTATTTCGACAAGAAGGAACGCTAGTATCAAATATTTCGAACCTAAACGCGACCTATAAAAAAGTACTTCGAGAAATGAAAAAAAAGAAAAATACTCGCAAGTAGAATCGAACATTGGTCGAACAAGTTGGAAACTTTACGAGCACTTTGCCGGAGATTCTCTCTTAAAGTCGTGTTTCTCAAAATTCATAAGAAATTCTTCGACTTTATAAATCTACTTCTTATCTACTTATCTACTTATAAATCTACATTTAGTTCGAAAGATAATAAAAATAGTAATTCGATCGCTGCTTGTAAGAGGGTTCGATTCGTTTAAATATCGAAGCTACAAGTAGATTTTCGAAACTTACGAGTACTTGTTCCGACGTTCGAGACCAACTTGAGAAGACCGAATGCACTTAGCAAGTACACCTTACGAGTAGATTGCGGATTTTTATGCAAATTCGTATTCTTTTAGAATATAATTAAACGTCGCAGTAGAATCTCGATAAGGAATTGATTTATCTATCAAATATTGTAGAATCTGTTACATCTCTTCGTGTAACCGTGCATCTCGTGCAATCTTGCGCTTTCAAATTTTCCTACAAAAAGTGTAAAAATCTGCATTCTGTTTATGAGTAGTGTTTCAACCCTGTAAAGCGATTACTGGATTTCATTCGGATTATAAATATGTATGTACACTACCATGCATACCTATTTAGCTATCTGACGCGGTAATATTTACTTCCATCGCCCATCCACTTATTTTTATCTCCGACTGTGTTTACGCTACTCTGCATAAGTATCTGGACACTTGATGCAATCCAATGAAAACGTTAATATTTTAAGTATATTCTCAATATTATTATAGAAGAACGTTTCTCTACTATTGATTACTGTCCTGTCTCTTGCCGTGAGTGGGATCAAATGTTCAGCTAAATTGAAACTGAAACGAGGAATACGCCCGCGTCAATCAAAAGTTTCATATTCATCTGAAATAAATAGCTGACGCTCTATAGAATCTATATAAACAATTTTGAAACGTGACTGGAAGCAGGTATTCCGATCATTCCAACATCTCAACGTTGAACAGATACGCTTAAAGTCACTTAACTTAGGTGTTCTCCTAGAAGCTTTCTTATTTACACTAATTAATATCGACTGTTGTTTCTATCGATATCCACCAACTGACTGTACACAAACGAGGATTCGACCAAGCTAGAACTTTTTTCAAACTACATGTTACATATTTGCAGTAACTTGGTAGCCACAAGGCCAGATACTCGTGCACGGTACTGTATGTACGTGTTAGACTTGGTCCCATCGTTGATCGTTACGTCCCTTGCCATTTCTCGTTAGTCGAAACCGTAAAAGTCCGCCGCCACGTTTCGAAACGATCCTCGCCCCTGCACTAATCGCGATAATTAAAAGGCTGCGATTATTATTGCACGAGCTCTGACAGCGTATCATCACTGCTTTTTTCAGTTTCACGAACCGTCAAGATCGCAAACGGAGCACAGTTGAACGACTAGCCGAGGGCGATCGTACATTACCGAATGTGCCCTGGTGCTTGTCTGAGAAGGGTCTGCACAAATACACACGATACTGCACGTAATAGCCGTGCCGAAAGAAAAGACAGACGACACAGAGAAAGAAAGAAAGAAAGAGAGAGAGAGAAAGGGAGAGAGGGAGAGAGAGAGAGAGAAAGAGAGTGAGAAAAAGAAAGATTATTGTTTGGCCTGGCAGATTACCCAGAGGTGTGATTTATCTCGATTACAAAAGGCCACAGTTGCAGCGTAACCGACTTGCCGTACACTTTCAGTCGAGGAAACATTCCCGGTATTATTTTGTCACACGAATCGCTAAAAAAAACCCCTTCATCCGACAATTAACCTGCTTGCGTTCTCACCCTGTCTCGATTAATTGCATTCATTAACGCATCTCTTGCACTCGAGTCTATTAACGATTTCTTAAACGTGTCGCTCTTATTAAGCGTTAACTAACTGCCACGAATAACCATTCGAAATATCGAAATGGTACCTATCGGAGTTGTCTGTAAGGAGTAGACGAACTGGCATTAAAAACGAGAGACGACTCGTGTTCGCAGTTTTCAGTACATTGAAGCTCAAGGGTATAGCGTACGACAGCGTCATTGACTTTTGTAATTTGCAGTTAGGTAATCTTGCATATAACGTACGTACTATATATATCGGTCTTTTACCTCGCTATAATTTGGGATGAGTCGTCTAAAGCGATAAAGAGACGATGACGAGTGTGGAATAGAAAAAAAGAGAAAAGAAAGGAAAAGACAAAAAGAAAAAGGACGAAAAGAAAGGGAAAAGGATTTTTACTTTGTGATATCGTTAGCAATATTATGATTCCAATGGATATAATTGGAATAATTAATGGATATACTTCCAATGGACTGAAAACGTTAAACCGTAACGTTTGTAACATCGAAGTTTCCGTTTAACCGTGTGATGTTTCTGTTATATTGACTCCCTAAATCATCGAGTTTCCACATACGAGAATGGAAATTTGTCACCGTCCAGGTTTCGCCCAGTCGCTTCTCCATTCCTCGATTCAATGTCGAGGAAGAACTTACGTACAATTACTTTTCACACAGGTGCACGTATCTTCTTTTTTTTTTCTTTTTTTTAATCATCGTAGAATTTCATTGGTTGTTCATCGTTGATAATCTTCAACGAATAGTTGACTGATGGAAAGATCGAGATTTGTGTATTATATGTGTGTGTGTTACTAACGAAGAAGTTAGTTGCCTAGTAATGTCGCATATTAGTTACCCGGCGCGGCTGATTGCAGAGCGTAAGACCACGCGCGCAATTTATCAGCGACCAGGAAAGCATTGTGGCTCGTAGCATCACGAAAGAGGAAACCATGGAGAACAATTACTATGGAGGACTACGAGGAGGCAAGCCATTTACCACGACCAACAGCAGCCTGGCCTCGGCTACGAGAATTATACATCATCATTTGTTCGGCTCTGCCATTGGACCCAGGCATTACACAGGTAAGTGGTATGAACTTACTTCTTATTCTTATCTAAATGCTATCGCGAATAATTCTATTCCACGAATGCCATGACTCCGTGTCGAGAAAATTTTTCTTCGTCGTTCTTCGAACGTATACCATAATTTAGATATATTTTCATTATTTTCTGACGAAACGCGAACGAATTGGTTAAATGTAAAAAAAAAAAAAATGGATAAACTCAGTTAAATTATAATAATCGCTAAATTTAAGATAATTTCCTAATAATTTCTCGAATCTATCGAAGTTCCCACAACTATCGCAATACTTGTAAACGAGGGTGTATCGAACGTATCGTATCACGCTCGTTTCACGTTCGCTGGCTTTTAAAGATTATTCGAGTCGCGTCTACCTGTCGATTCACCCTTCTATCGATTTCCTTTATATTCTGGGTCAGCGCAATACTTGGAAGCACTGTATATGCAGGTCATCGAAGGCAAATTTCAGGAACGAACACCGACAGCAAGCTTTCCCTGTCCGCTGATTCGATAGACAGCGAGGGCGTGCCTTTCATAGACAGGCACCGGGTCTCCAAGTCGATACTCAAGAAGTCCGAGAGCAGCAATAATTACTACAGCAACGCCGGTGACTCGGACACCGAGAAGCTTATCACCGATAATGCGTCGACCATAAGCATGTGCGACAATGAGACGAGCACATGCGACGTTTTCGCCAATGTGAATGGAACGAGATTGAAACAGCCTGGCTCGCCGTTGCTTTCCAGACAGGTTCTCGAGTCGATCTTCCGCACGAACAATAACGTCGAGAGGGAGAACGAAGTGGATCAAAGCGAAGAAAGGAACTGTGTTTCCAAGATGAGCAGATCGATATTCGACGAGGTCCTCGAAGGTACTTGTTTGCCTTTTTCTAGCCACTAGCTCGCCATTCAGCCAAGCTAATAACAGATCAATTACGAGAGATTGTCTACCACCAGTTTTACACTAGCCCTCAGAGATAACGTAAATCCCTGACACTCGATTATTTTCAACGGAGTGTACAGAGCGTCCTCTTCGGCTGAAAGATCTTCGTTATTTCAAGCAATGAATGAAAGTACAGGGTGGCTCGTTGGTCACCTTCTCGTCTAAAAGTTGTGTAACTTTTATTTACCGTACGTTCTTTTTTAACTTTGGATCATCGGATTTTTGAAGATTGTTTCATTTCTTGGAAATTTATAACGGGAAAAATTTACAACAATATACAATGTACAGGCACAATCCAGCCACTGTTTTATTTTGCGTATAGATTACGTTACATTCTAATACTTAATTTAATATTTAAACAATGACAATGAGCAAAATTTCGTGACTTTATAATTGAATAAATTCTGTCGGAATGCTATGACGCTGTTAGATACGTGAGAGCAATGTTAACATATAGATACGTAGAGTGTAAGATATAAATTATTTAATTCGATTATTGTAAAGAATTTAAAAGATTATATAAAATATTAATATCCGAAAGAATTTCATGATTAATATAAAATTTTCTGATTGTAACAAAGGCTTGTTCTAAACTAACAAAACGATGATTAAGTGAAACAGTGATATTTAAAGATCGGTATGTCGATTGACGAATCGGTTGTTTCGTTCCCATACGATTTCATGTAACTGAAAATCGGATACGAAAATATTTATAGCTCGTTCTATTAACGGAGACTGTTATAAAAAATGTCATTGTGCCTAACAGGTTAAAAGAAGAGTGGTTTTTAAATTTGCAACGGAATGTCTCGAAAAAGGTATATTTTATTCAGAAGAGCGTATCGAAGTCGTGAAACGAGCTTTTTATAGACTCTGTGGGTCTCTAAATTTTCGAATCGAATTTTCTTTAATGGAATCTGCTATCTTCTTCACACGGATACAGAATGCACTTAAAAGTGTACGTGTAATAATGGAATGAAAAATGAAATGTTAATATACGTAGACCAAAGAGATGTACGTGTGTACCAGAGAGATAAAATTCAAACTAAATTTGTTTCCACGTGAATTACGCTTAAAGTAACAGGAGTGTTTAATGCACAGGCTGCCTCGGTAACTCGATTTTTCTTGAAAACCGATATCTCTCTTACTTTTAACAATGCGAGCAAATGCTTTAGGAAATAAACTTCTTTTTCTGGTTTTAGCGTCGCTTCAACATCGAATTTAATTTGATATATTGAATAATAATAATAATAAACTTTCTTTTTTCGTAGTCATATTTTCCAGGATTTAAATATTTCCAGAAGAAATCGCAATCGAACCATCGAAACAATAGTTTCCACACGTCCACCCTATAGAAAGTTTCAAAAGTGACTGCTCCTCTTCCTATTTAATCAATAACCCCGGATATCCCGAATATTCTGTGCCTGCCAAATGGCTTTAACGCCCTACACTCTGGCTGTTAAATATTCGCAAGAATATCGCTAACGTTTAATATATATAAAAAAAAAAAAAAAAGTAACTTCTCGTTGTTAATGGCAACTGTCTTTGCTCCATCAATATGATATTAAACTCGTTGCTTGTAAGTGGACTGCGGATGTTCGTGCAAATTCATACTTTTACGAATGCAGATAAAGAAATGGAAGTTAAACGTAGATTTGTTTTGTTCTTTAAATATTTTATAACCAGTATCGCAATACTTTGAATATTTTATTACATCTCTTAATATTATTCTGTCCGTCTTTACATATTTAAATTATATGCCTATAAATGCATAAACATTAACAGCCTGTTTATAAGGTTCCATCGTCTTTAAACCGATCGATTTGCTTTGAATAAACATTATTTATCGATTTGCCAGAATAAACATTATTCTAATAATACAAAAACCTATGAAATCTAGCAAACGATATTTGGATAATTACATTCCACCGTATTCTATTGGAAATTGCAATTAACCGATTGCGAGTTTGATCATTAGATTTTTAGATCGCTCCATCGGCAATTATTGCGTTCTCGGAATTGTAAATACTTTTCGCATATGACGTTTCCCGCATATCACGCTTCTCCACGATTATTAACTCACATAAACTGATCCTCGATTGACATAACGATAAGATATCGCGTGACGTTAGATATAGAATGACGTTAGAATATATGTATTGAAATCTTGATATCATGAATTATTATCATGTTTTGATAATGTTCGCATAATAGAAAATATGGCTGTGTATATAGAAATTGTAAGATATTTATTGACTATGTATCTAGTGAAAAGTTAATATACAGTGTGAACAATCATCTCAAGCTCATAATAAGTATTAAAGTTGATCCCACTGAATACTGACAACGAGACTTATTAATATTATAGATGATTGCCTGTCTATAAATATTTTCCAAGTTTGATTATGTATAATATTTAATATCACAAAATATATAACGTGTCTTTGTACTGGATATCTCGTAACTCAAATATACATGCTCAGAATTGTTTAAAATTTTACCGATATAATCATGATGATAGCAAGACGACAATTATGTCATTAATCAGCATTAGCTGATGAAATCGGAAAATGTTTCGTGTAACACACATAATATGTTTATAGAAGGTATCGACAAGTATAATCGAATACTTTCGCGAGCCACTGCATTTAATTGTTTATAAGTAATTCTGAGTCATTTATGTCCACGCCTAATACTTCTTTTTCCTATTCTAAGCTTCCAAGAAAATCGAAAGAAATTCTACAATGCTTGTCGAAGTCTTTGCTACTGTGCGTTACACGTAATCAGATTTTCGATATTATTTTCGATATTTCGCTTCGCACCCAAACGCTCAAACTCGCCGACAAAGACTATAACGCGTTTAACTATCCGCAATTTGCCGTAATCGTAATAATTGTCATTTAACAAATTTTCAGAAGAGAAGTGCACGCAGGACGAGGCAATGACAGAGAATAAGAACAAAGAGGAGCGAAAGAAATCGAGAACGAGGATAGAGGAGCCGTCGAAGGATAGCCAGACGATGTTGATATGCTCATTACGATCGCATAAAACGAAGAAGTTAAGCATAGAGGAAAAACGAAAGGCCAAAACGGCCAGTCATAGTTGCAAAGGCACCGACACGAATTGTCTTCCTCAAGAACATCGTTTCTCGTCGTAGCGTAATTCTCCTTTGTGTAGCATCCTCCGTTCTGTGTCGCGTATACATATGTAGATACGAAACTGAATCACTCTGCGATCACATCAGTGTTTCTCTTTTAGTAACGCCATTAACTTCTGTAATAACATTCGCACGGTCGTGCATCTGCGTTTCGAATACGACGACGACGACGACGTCGACATCGTATCGTCGACGATATCGACTTGGCCTGTCGTGTAAATACGTCTAGGGAAAACGCATAATAATCTTAAGAGAGTGATATACGTTCGATAATATGAAAAATAGAGACTAACATAGATAATGTATAACACGAAGAAATACATATTTTCGAGAAAAAAGAAAGAAAAAAGGAAGGAAAGAGGGGGAGAGAATACACAATTTTGAAAAGTATATATATACGCGTGAAGGGATATAATTGCGCCGAGGATGGTATTCAAATGATAAAAAAAAAAAAAAGGGAAAAAACGATTAAAATAAAAATAAAATATCGAAGAAGATAAGATGCCAGTTTGCATAGAATTAAAAAAAGAAGCAAGCGAGAAGATGTTAATCAAAGCTTATTAAATGATACGATGAAAACAAGAGATACAAAAACAATGATGATAATTCTAATGATAATAGTAATAATAACGGTAATAGTAATAACGATAGCAAATAACAAATCTTTAGGCCATACGCTTTTCCCTGTTCGCTGAAGAAAAACGAGAATTTAATAAGACATGTAATCTACATAGTCACACGACCCTGTTATTTCCTCCTTTCGCCTAATATGGTTAAATTGGGGCAGCTTTGCGTGTCGCGCGAACAGTATATGCATTCGATGACATATAGCAATGAGAAAACACGCAACCGAATTACAAATAATGATAGTCGGGAGATTCGTCGTCCTTTTTTTTCTTTTTCTTTTTTTTTTTTTTTTTTTTGAGAAACGAGTCGTTCTCGACTAAACTCCGCTAAAGTCTCTCAGTGTTGTTCGAAATGACACGAGTGTTCGTTCATCTGCTGAGTGTCTTATGCACAATTAGATAATAATATATGGTTGTAATATATAGGAGGCATTAGATACACGATGTGATATATGCCTCGTTGAAATCAAAACACGATATAGTAGGAAAAACGTGGGAACGTAGATCGTCGGAAAACTCGTTAATAACTGCCCTTTTTAAAGTTCCGATTTTCGCGTTTCTTTTCTATTGAATCGATTCTTGAAAGTTTTCTTATGATATCTTTTTAAAGAGAATATTATTGTTATTTGTATTTTAAGTACTTTGTGATAGTAGTTTACATAAATCAATTCACGTGTGTGTATGTGTATATTTGTATGTATATTAGTTAAAAATATCTGCAGGGTGTTCTATTAATTTTATCGTGTGGTATTTTTTTTTAGAAAATTATTGTGGATATAGATGTGAATTTATTTTTAAATTTCACGACGTTAAAGACTCCTGTAGATTGTGATATATGAGACTTCTAATCTATTACGTAGTGGAAAGGGTACAAATTTTGAAGTAGAGCCACCATGTTTTACTTGAAAGAACATGTTTTACTCGAAATATGATACTTAATAATAACAGGTACTTTAAAAGTCACAGAGAATAATGGTAGTTTAAGCAAAGAAGTTATTGTATACTAATTGTAATATTATTTTCTTCGGCATCCAAAGTAACATCTAAAATAATTTCTATTAACTTCTGAACTAAACTGTTTATCGATATAATAATAAAAAGAACTTTGTTCCTCTGTAAGACAGTGCAGTATGAAATTGTTGAGCTTGAATTAATATTAAACTCGACTTTATGTGTATCTTATAACGAATTTCACTTCTGATATGAATGAAATTATCGGAGAAAGCTCAACTCTTTGTAGTTTTTGAAATATGCATTATTATTAAAAATATTGTTAGTATACAAACTTGAAAACGTGATGAAAATTTGCTCACCGATGTATTTAAAACTTCGATGGCTCGCTGTATAAATACTGTATGTCCAAAAATAATATTTTGTTTATTGTATTTAGTGTATGTAGAGATATGTTCAAGATGCACCCCTGTCATTTTATGTTCCTAAAAATGATCAATGCCCAATTTGCAATCGATCTTGCAATAGCATCGATAAGGATAAATACGATGCAAAGAGTACTTATTTAATGAGTGCCATTATAAAGTGCCATTGAATTTTTAAAATTGGTTTTCTCGAATACGCTAAAAATGAACAAACGATATTTATGCAGTAAACCATCAATTCTAATCCTGCTTTCTACCTACTTCTCCCTTGAGTTCTCGTTTCTACTGCGTAGAGTATACACCAAGACCTCCTTATTCAATGAAATTGAAAAAGGAAAATACTCGTTTAAAGAACGTACAGTTTCTAGTAATAGTATAATTAGAAGATAACATGTAACCCGAAGTTACTGGAACATCCTGCGATACATTTGAAAATAAATCCACTTGCATCGAGGTTCAACCGAAGTTTTCCTATGTTCATTCTCGTTTAAATGACACGGAACTTCACTTCCAAAGAGTTGTATCTACCTGACCACGTTTTCCACGTAGAACACACACACACACACACACACACACATATATAAGTATATACTTTATATAACGCAAATATCGCAGTGGAACCAGAAGCGCTTACGTGCACGACCATGAGTTCAGTTCGGTCGTTTTTAAGAGTTGAAGAAAAAGTGTACTTTTCGCGTATGTTATAGATGTTAAATCAAAAATGAAAAAAAGAAATAAAAATGATGAAACGTGTTAACATGCTCATGTAGAGAATAGCCAGAGCGCAAGTATCGTCTGTGTTATATCCAGGTACCGATGTCTAGCCGCGGTAACAATCAAAGTTTTCCAAGAAACTTTTACACCATCGTCATCGAACGCGACGAAAAGAAATTTTAAATCGATTGTCTTCGCCGAAAAATGAAGAACATCATGTAACATTGCAACGCGCATTATGTACGAATGTAATTACGACGCGTGCTCAAAAAGTTCGATCGCCTCTTTTTTCCTACTAATGGTGATCGTTCTCTTTTTTGTTGCCTTTCGTTCTAACAAGGAGAAGCGAAATAAGTAAGAAATCTTCCGTTCGTATCTCGCTGTAATTTAGTCAAAGTAACAAAGACGCGTTCTCGCCTTCAAAAAAAAAAAAAAAAAAAAAAAGGACGCCTCTGTTTCGCTATAATTAGCGATCGTTCCGATCTTTATTTTCTTTTTTTTTTTTTTTCGTTTATGCTTCCTTTAATTTTAATCGGGAGAAGCGAGACAAGTAAGAAATCTCCCGTTCGAATCTCGCTGTAATTTGGTCAAAGAAAGAAAGACGTTCTCTCTTAGATTTTTAGACGAGCCGTCAGTAAAAATACATATCTCTGTAATGGCATTTCTATTCATTGTTATCGTAGATGTAGGGAAACAAAGTAATTGTACAGTTGCAAATTAACGAGGAGGAAATGGAAAAAAGAAAAGAATGGTTAATATTCCCCATAGACGCGTCTATTTGGGGATCTTTGTTATGCCGATGGTCCGAAGTTCACGCCTCGACTATTTTTTAATATATTTGTAATTGTTTTCGAATACGTATATGAAGATGCTTCTCATGAAAGAAGCATTTCAAAGCATCCGAATAGATCCATCTGATTTCACATTTTTTCACGTGAAACTTTCGTCTTCGTTAAGAAATAACGTAAGCTATTCGAACCGTGATCCTTAGCGATAATAACTTGTATTACGCGATGATCGTTGTACGTGTAATACGTAATACATTTACCGTTCCACATTGTTACCGCGATATATTTATTTATGAGAGAGAGAGAGAGAGAGAGAGAGAAAGATATGATCATCGTATCCGACTTTAAGGGATTTCTCGTTTTTTCTAAGAATTGCAAACAAACTTGTTTTATGTACTTGTTATTCGAAGTTGGATCTCGATACCTTGTAATCGCTTGGAGTTTCTGAGTAAATCAATGTCTTCTGTGAATTAACATAGCTGGAAGTAGAAAGTTCCTAGGAAAGGTGTACAGAACGTGGATTTATTATTTATTGTTGTAATTATATCTTAGAAGAATTAGCATCGACATAGTACAAAAGGGAAGGCCACACCATAGACACGCGTGGCAACGAGACAAGTTGACCAGATTACAAAAAAGAGAAAAAGAAAAAAAAAAGATAGTATGAAAGAGACTTGAAACGGCTGCACAGTTGCGTAGATCTTGAGCGATATACGAGAGCAGTACGGCGAGAAAAAGACATTTTTCTTTTCTCCGTTTTTCATTTTTCGTTTCACGTTTCGAAATTTGTAATACTTCGTATTAAGGCTTAATTTAATGGAATAAGTCTGACGACCGAGGCGTAACGCTTTCGCAAATTGATATAAGATATTGTAAAACGTAAACAATGCAAGATAACTTTTTATCCACTTTTTTATCGAATAATCGAGGAATTATAAAGATTCGATTAATATATATTTACAAGAGGATAATATCGAAATTTCAGACGTTTCCTAAATCGATAAACAATTTTTCGTCTACGCCTCAAGCCACAATATCGACAGATTAAAGTGTCTGTCTATTCGATCCATGAAACAGCTAACGATACCAATTGTACAGCACATAACAGTCAATTCTCAATTATACAATGCAGTTATATGAAAAATCCTTTATCATAATATCGACCTAAACATCGACGAGCGCAAAGTTAATCGGATTTAGTCGATTGGTCACGTACATTCTTTTATTTTCGAATCTCTAAGGCCTAGAGTCGCGTAGCTATAAGGCGAGTAGTATGTAACAAAATGAATAAAGTTGTAATTTGCCAGTTTTTGTTCCTTACTTAGGAGTATTTTTTTATTAATCATATACCAACACCAACATGAAAATTCCGATCGTAAGAAGAAATCCGTAATCCCTATACTTACTTCAATTTATTTATTCGTCTTATTGTTCATTTTTAAACCATCTCAGTTTATATATATTTTTTTTTTTCATTTTCTTTTGCGAAAAAAGAAATATGTATACATGTATATGTATATGTATGCGTATATAATATAACATGTATGTACATTCGTATATGTAAATTACATTGAGGACGATTATTACTTATGCAAGGAAATTACTTTATTGCTTTCGCTATAGAAGAACCGCGTATGTTGAACAGGGTGGGAACAAAGTATCGAGCAAGGGCCGAATACATTGCTATCTTTTGTTCTCGAAGAGGAGAAGTTGCGATGGAAACTTAACTCGAGGCCGCTGGTGGATTTACTGTCTCGGTTGTGGTGCTTTGCGAGTCGGATATCGGCTTCTCTTGTAACTCCAGCCACGGTAGTCGTTTTTGCAGTTCCAATCTATTCAAACAGTAACGAATATATTTTATTCCATCCTGCTCGTACATTTCACACATTCTTTCCTGTACGTGCAGCTAAGATCGAAACATAATATAATATAATAAATGACCGAGCAGAAGATTAGAAAATGAAAAGAATTTGTAAACAGAAAGATATATGAAAACTATGATTTGCTAAAAGAGCTACTGAAATTATTATTTTATTTAAAATGTATAAAAAGAATTATAACATCGATGAATTATAATTTATATTATAGTTAATATCTAGATCTGAAATATTTATTTTCGTAGTTTCTTAAGAAAATTTACCTGTATCTCGGATGGCTTATAGCGTATACGTATGGATCCAAACAAGCAACACCTTTACATGTGCACGCAGGTATCATCGTGACACCAGGTGTTAACAGTGCTTTATTGCCAAACGCACCGATCATTGCCATCACGCCATACGGAGTCCACGAGAGGACGAACAGAAAGCAAATCGTAATGGCAGCCTTCGGACAAACACATAAATTAACCGGTTACACTAAACGTTAAGCGAGTATAGTTAGTACAAAATTAAAATAACGATAGTTACGACCCTCTAACGTCTACAACACAGCTAAACAAACAGAAAATAACTATTATTTCGTCAAAGCGATTGTATATTTATAAAATAATTCTCTATAGTTCAAACACGAAGATCTCTTCTCTGAATTTGTTCTTAAATATGATCAATATCAATCATCGGTATATAATAGGATGTTCGCTATCGATTTGCAAAATTGATGAAACAAAACCACGTTCGCTCTTCCTAATCCTCTTTCTTCTTTCTTGTCTTCGCTTTTCTCTATTGTTTCTTTCGTCATGTATCATATTACATACATATGCACGTTCGAGCTATTCAATTAAGGAAAGAAGAAATTTTGTTTGCAGGATTTTTTCGAATGGATACAATAAAATTCCCCTGAGCTTGCCAGAGGACAAACAGTTTAGATTAATCAGAATTCATATGATAGAAGTTCGCCTATATTCTCCACTAGCTGTTATTTTTCATTGATACAGTCAAACCTCACGTGATAATATAATCCTCTTTTCCTTTTTCTACCTTTCACGTCTCGTCGAATCTATCGATTATATTATAAACCAATTATGATACGTAATATGGTCATATAACATTTAACTATTTTGATGGAACCTAACAGCAACCATGATCGATTAATACTAGTCACAACGAAATTGTTGAAAGAACTGAACTGAAATTGTTAAAAGCATCGGAGAAAGTTATTTAAAAAATGTCATATCTGACAAAAGAAATTGGCAGAGAGTATAAACATTGTAGTAATATCGTTCGACACGTTGACTGCCACGATGGTCATCGGTGTCAGCCACGTAACTAAACTTTTTAGAATAATTAAAGCAAGATAGACTTCACGGAGTAAAAGCTCGTCAACCACGTGAATAATTTAGATAACGTTGTGAGTAGAAACCGTGCAAATACGATAATAATATTTTGCAAAAATTGAAAAATATAACGTGAACTCTCCGGGCAAAAAATATATAAAATTCGCGTGGCAGTTAACGTGTTAATGAAAAGAGAAACAAAGTGATGCATTCATTTAAATACCTTTGCTATACGTATCTCAGCGCTTTGGGAATTTGTGTTCGCGTTACTCCGTAAACTGTCCACGTTCATCTTCTTTGCCTGTTCTCGAAGCGCTTTCTCGTGATTTACGACGTGGCTAACAATCTGAGAATAGTAGTAGATTATAAGCATCATTGGAATGCAATAGGAGAAAGTAAATATGACAGCAACAAATGTCCGTATTTCATTAGTGTCGGTCAGATAGTCGAAACTGCAACTGGTAAGAAAGCCTTCCGGTACAAAACGTCCCCATACTCCCATTACAGGCATCAACGCCCATGGTATGGTGTACGTCCAAATTAAGACGATAAACAAAATCACTTGTCCACGAGATAGCTTGCCATCCAACGGTCTTGCAATTGTACTAGAAAGAAATTTGTTTATTTATTTACTTCAGAATGGAATAAAAGAACACTCGAAACCGTTCTTTTCAAACGTGTAACATTTTCTAACTAACTAATTTGTGCCAAATACTGGGAAATTAACGTACAACGGTGGAGATGGAAAATAAGATTGTCGTGAAAATACAGACTATTCTCGTATACGAACGTATGAAATAATCGAAGCGTAGATTTTTATGCAGTTATGGGTTGCTGCAGAAGTCATATAGCATACAATAATTTATAAAACATACGTTGATCAAGGCTGTAAATAATTACTTTTCTATGCAATTACTGTAAAACCTTAATAACTTTTTTTATTCTTAGGTCTCTTTTGCTGTAGGTTCTATTGTAATTTTATAGATTGTAATATTTCCTATTAGCGTCATGGGCATCCTAAAAACTGGTCGCTAAATGAAATAAATATATATAATTTATGTAACAGAAACAAACGCACGTAATATGCAAAAGTTTGTAAAATATTCAAAGTATAATATTTGTTATAGCATTTAGTAGACAAAACAATTCATCACCTAAGTTTCCTTTTTTTCTCTTATATGAAATTTTTTAGAAGCGTCCAAAGCCTAGTTAACTTAGTTAACTTCTAACTAACTTCTTTGCTCTCTTATGAAGTTGTATACAGTATAGGACTAATGTACAGTAGCAAGTTTGTCAGTCAAATTTTGTTCGTCTAAAGGTAAATGAAGTATCATACCTATATCTGTCGTATGCTATAGCTGCATTCGTTATCGCGGCCCCAATTCCGCTTAGGGAACCGATGACCGCGAATATTTGACATCCTAAATGTCCCAGAGCAAAACCGGTGTTAAAAGAATTGTATATGAAGATAGGCGTCTTGATCATCATAAAGAAATCGCAAATCGCTAGATTCACAACGAACATGTTCGAAGGCGTCCTTAATGATTTGGCACTTGAAAAAACGAGACTCGATTTAATTTACGCATTTTCACGCATCACAGTGGTATAAATAATATCGCGCGTGTATTTCAGAAGCCACACAGCTCGAACAAGCTTTTCAAGAGAGACGAAGAACTATTTGAAAGCTTACAAAACTATCTATCATTTACAATGTTGCTAAAAAGATTAAACTCTGGGAGACAATGGTCAAAGGATAAAAATGATTTTCGTAACTTCTTTTATTTTCAACCCTTGAAATTTCCCTTTGGCTTGACACTTTTCATGCTCTTCTAACGTAACATTGACTTATTTTCAACCACGACACTTCTAAATAAATTATGAATTTTTATCCGTTTATGAGATATTTGAGAATACAGAAATATACAAAATGAACATAAAAAGTATCCTCAAGGTGGAGTACTTGTTATAACACTTGACGAGAGAAATAAACAATTATCATCTATCTGATTGTCGTTAATAAAAATATGAAATTGCATAAAAATCCGTAATCTATTTATGAAATACACGTGCGATATTATAAGACTTTTATAATTAGATATTTAGATAATTAGATATTTTTACCGTGACGATGGCAAGAAATGTTATATGATAAAAGAACGATAATGATGAGGCGATCAGTCTTATTGATAAAGAAAATAACTTACGCGCAAAATATCCATATTACCAAGCCATTGCCAAGTAAAGCAAGGAAAGTAAAAAGGATATACAAGAGGGCTAATAGATAATGAAGGGAGGGGTTCGGCTCAGGATGGACCAGCCAATGTTCCGGTATATGGACTAATTCTTCGGCAGGAACATTCCATCCCAGCAAACGTGGTGGTCCTGCTGGTAGGTATCTTGCCTCCCAATGAATAGTGTCGTTGGACATGTTGGTCACTCCGTCTGCCAGCCCCTCTCCTTGATACCACTGATCAGGCAGCAGCTTTATACCATTTCTTCTACCCCCTCGAATCGACGAAACCTTAACCCGTTGGCTTTGCTGGCTTCGTATGAGGATCAGCCGGGGATTATCCCCTAGTTGCTCTGGGTCAGCAGGAATGTGTGTCGACGTCATAGAAGTTAGTCATACTAATCGTCAATCGAAATTTCGATTTTATCATAGGTGGATGCTCCTTTGAACTTTAACACGTTATTCGTTTTATATCGTGCCTTTCCTCCCTTTTCTTTTTCTTTAGCGAATTATGAGCTTACTGTCTCCTCCGTTTCGTATCACTCTCGTACACGCTCTTTGAAAATCTCTTTATTATTTTAGATGGCTTGAGATGACTTTCATCGGTCTTTTAGCGCACTTGTTGGTGTTATATTATCTTAATAAGGGATTTAGTAAATCAAAAAATGTTTTCCTTATTTTATAGTGTCCCATAAATTACTATGCCATTTAAACGAATAAACGAAAGCCTAAGAAGATGAATTTCTTTTTCTTGATTTAGGGGGGAGATTTAATTAGAAATAATAAGATCAGTTCTTTGTAATTTAAAATTTATTCCTTAAAACCATTGTATTCCCTAAATCTATGCGTGTGTATATTAATATATTTTTATCAAGC